AAGCAGCAGCAGAATGCAAAGATCACATGGCGGCAGGAATCGACACAACAGGCGATGGCTTGTGCTTCTTGATGTGGGAGTTGTCGCAACCGCACAACTTTCCATTCCAAGACCGCCTTTATGAGGAGCTTCGCTCAGCACCAGAAGGTACGCACATTGATCGATTACCGTACCTCGATGCTGTAATCAAGGAGGCCTTGCGCTGTGCGCCGCCAATCCCCATGTCATTCCCTCGTTATGTGCCAAGCGGTGGTAGAACAATTGACGGGACCTTCATCCCCGTGGGAACCATCGTCAGCTGCCAGCCGTACACCGTGCATCGCCTCGACGAAAAGGTATTCCCGGATCCAGATACTTTTAATCCGGATCGCTGGATGGAGGAAGATGGCATCAACGAGCGTAACCGATTGTTTTTTGCTTTTAGCACCGGAGGGAGAGGGTGCACTGGAAGAAAGTAGGTTGCATTTAGTCTCTTCGTGAATTCTGGTCTAACTTTTGAAAGCCTGGCGACCGTTGAGATGAAGATCCTTCTCCAAGAAGTTTATTGCCGGTTCCAGACGACGGTGGCTCCGGACATGACTAGCTCCATGGAGATCGACGACCAAATCATCTCGTCTCGACCGAAGGGACAGAAGTGCAAGCTTATATTTACTCCTCGTGAGATATGAGATCGATTTACAGAATGCACAAGGTGATGAATTCCATGACTCATTGGCATCACCATATCATCGGGGTTTATTCCAACGCAGGCACGGACAGCCGTGAGGGGTGGAGATATCCGGTCCGCTTTTGATGCGGGGTAAGCAGATCAGGGCCAAACACTAGGAGATGAAGTCAGAAGTAGCTGTCTATCAATTAATTTATCGGCTGTTTGCACCGGCATTTGCTTCAAAAACACTATAAACTTTGTGTCCACTGTATCACTGGTAATTGGTACCAAATACAGAGCTCAGAGAACCGAGGTTTGATTTGCAAAAAGTGAACGTCTGCATCTTCTATAAGTACCAGCTAAATCATCGATATCAGTCCAGCACAATGACTGTCTATTCAAATCACCTGATGGTACATCCACTTACAACTGAATAAGAGTTCCACCCATACCATGCACTTGTCTTCCCTCTCAAACTGGGCCACAGTAGCCCTCCAGGCCCTTCTTCTATTTTCTCCCAACATTCCTGTAGCTACCTCCTCGCCATCTCCCCCAGAACTATCATTCCTATACACGGCCTACGTCGAATGCGAATCAAGTCTCATGAGCTCTCCTGGCCCTCACGGCGTGCGACGTACAATTCCAATTGTGGGTGGAAACTTCACTGGTCCTAATCTATCAGGTAGCCTACATCCCGTAATCCAATACCTTCATATTAGTTACTAACATCCCTTGACAGGCAAGATTCTCGACGTCGGCGCCGACTGGGGCCTAGTCGATCCTCAAACCGGCATCTTCAGCGCAGACACCCGATACAACTTCCGGACCGATGATGGAGAGAATATCTTCCTTCAGACATCTGGGCCTAAGTCGCCCAGCGGACAGCTACATCTTCGGCTCGTGTTTGAGACGGGCAGTCGCAAGTATTACTGGTTGAATAATGTTGTTGGTATGTCGGGCTCTGCAGACTATAAAGAGGAAGGGATTCCAATGAATGTGGTATGCTAATATGAGCTTAGCGATCGGTATTCTTACCAATGTGGCCGAGACGGCTAATACTAGTCTGCTCAGGATTGATGCTTGGAATGTGAGTTGACGGAGCTTTATTCTAATCTGGTTATATGTCGCTGACGGAGGGTTGAATGCAGATGGCTACTGATTGGAATTCGACGAGTTTTGTGAATCCGACTACGACTGCTACTTCTGGCTGAAGGAGTTCAGAATATATCGGGCGATATAAGACGGGTTTTTTTGGTCTACAACTTGAGCCTGCTGGGGAAATAAGGTCAACCGAAGAAGAATTGCTGCCATGTTCAATGTTGGCTGAATATCTATCGGGAGAAAAATACATAGAGCTTTTGTAACCTGAAACCATGGCTTTACTGTTATATCATAAGCTACCGAGTATGTGCAATAAGATGCTTTATCTACACGTAAAAGTGGAATTCTCTCAGCCGCGGAGCTGATATGGCAGTGTCGCCGAATTCGGCGCCGGCCGACGCCGTGCGGGGTAAGCCAGCGATAGCGTCGAATTACTCAGTCTAGCCGACACACTCAACCAAGGTCCTCATATGTGTCATTCTCTTCCCTCGTTAACTGCACTCTCTTGTCCCTGAAGCTCTACTTTTTACTGTCCATCACTAAAATCCTACAATGGCTGCTGAAAACCCTCCCTCGCAGAGCCGTCTGTCGACGCGGATTTCTATCCGCTGGGTCCCCGAGCCCGCCTTCGAGAATACCGACACAATAGTCATGTCGGTTGCAGGCTGGTACGTCGACCTTCGCGTTGACAAGATCTCCGGGGATATCGACTGGGCTATTGCGGGCCAGCGAGTTGTCGATGACGCGGATTCCAGTATGATCACTTCCAGCCGATTCTTTCGTTGAGAGGTTAACGGCTATAGGTCGGGTGTCGTTCACCCATGAACTCGACTCTAGGAACTCGTTTGACGCGGTTGATTGCGGTACATTCTCCGCTCTTCCCAGTGGCGATGATCTTGAGAAGGGCGAAATGCCTCGTGCCGACCTACCTGGCTCCCCAATTGCAGAGTATGAGGAGGTTTGGCGTGAGTTGAAATTCCAGGAGGGCCCGGAGGGCCCCAATACGGGTGTTTCGTGGGTCCTTGAGTCGAAGCAAAGACCCTTGGAGGAAGGGGAGGAGGCTGAAGTGGAGAGAACTTTTCTTGGGAGAGTTTGGGGTACATACCTGGCTCTGCACCAGGTTCAGATACATTCTCGTCCCAGAGGTTCATCTACGACAATCGTTAAAGAGGGACGGGAAGTCAGTGCTAGGAGGGAAGAATGGGACTCTGCTTCCGGTTGGCAGCTCAAGTACTCCATCGGTCCCGCCGGAGCTCAGCTACCGTCAACGACCCAAATTCTCGGGGATAGCTCGTGGCAAACTGGCCAGACAGTTATACTTGCAGGAAAAGAATACATTGTCAGAGGATTCGAAAGAATAGTCTAAGGTGCGTCACGTTCGTCTATATACTCATTACTCTATATTATATACAAGTGATGGTTGCTTACAGCTCGTTGCTCAGGACGTAGCGGTAGCGGGCCTTGCCAGCGTCCATCTCCACAACGGCCTTGTTGGCGTCCTTCATGGAGCGCTCCTCGATCCAGGGCTGGACCTTCTTCTCGGCAGCCAGGGCAAGCATCTCACGGATCTCGTTGGGGCCTCCGATGAGGGAACCTCCCAGCTTGGCACGCTTGCCGATCAGAGCGAAGGCGGGGATCTCAAGGGCACCGTCCTCGGGAGCACCGACCTGGACGAAGCAACCGTCGAGGTCGAGCAGAGTGGCGTAGTCCACCATGGGCATCTGCAAATGTTAGATTTGAGTGTGATATAGATGTGTTGAAGAGACATACCTTGGAAGAAGAGACGGTAGAGACAATGAGGTCAAGGGAGCGGGCGTTGTTCTTGGCCCAGTCGGCATCGTCATCGGTGGCGATGTAGGCATCAGCGCCGAGCTTCAGAGCATCCTCCTTCTTGTTGTTCTTGCGAGAGATGGCAACGACCTTGTCGGCGCCAAGGGCCTTGGCGAACATGATACCGAAGTGACCGAGACCACCAACACCGATGATACCGACACGCTTGCCGGGAGCGCAGCCGTAGTGTCTCAGGGGAGAGTACACGGTGATACCACCGCAGAGCATGGGCGCAGCCTGGGCGGAGGGGATGGCGTCGGGGATCTTGACGACGAAACGAGAGGGAGAGCGGTGGTAGAGAGAGTAACCGCCATAGGACTTGCCGCCGTTCTGGTAGACGCCGTTGTAGGTGCCAACCATGGAGTGGCGGCAGTACTGCTCAAGACCAGAGGCGCACTCCTCGCAGTCACCGTTGCGGCCGCGGCAAGAGTCGCTCTGAGCACCAACACCAACACGGTCTCCAACCTTGATATCACCCTCGGCCTGGGAACCAACGCGAACAGCGACACCGACGATTTCGTGACCGACACAGCAGGGATACATGGTGGGGCCCTACATCTTGTTAGCTTGCAGTCAAAGGATGAAGTGAACGAGCATGCATACCCAACCGCTTCTGAGGGTGTGCAAGTCGGATCCGCAGATACCGCAGTGGGTGACCTTGATGTCAACATCGGACTCCTCCCAGGGCTTGGGCTCGAACTCCTGCCAGACCATGTTGCCGACGGAGTTCTTGTCAAGGCCCATCCAGCCCTCGAACTTGTAATCGGAAGCAGCCATTTTGATTGAGTGTTTGAGTATGGAAGTTATGATGATCCACAGAGTATGATTGTCGATTCCCCAGGGGTACTCTTGGCCTTTATATACGGATCACTTGCAACCAGGACAACGGGACAACGGGACAAGATTAGAAATCGAGCAGACTCTGGTCCACTTTGGATTCATGCGTGACGAGGGTGGAGACATGTTCCGTCCGAAGCCCATTCGATGGCATACGATGATACGACAGTGATCTTGGGTCGACCCTGAATGGGCTACGACATCGGATTTACACACCCCTTAATGGCCGGTAAGCGTACCTGCAAGCTTACCAGCGATCATGCAGCTGGCGCAGTTCGCCGCAATCGAAGATTTTTCAGTATGAAGCTTCCTGCCACGGGGCAACGGCATGGAATTTGGTTGAGGAGTTTCATTGGATCCAGTTAGTAAGGGACCCATCGCATGGTGATGAGTTCCAATGTTCGGGATGGGGTTCCATGGACCTGGCGCGCTAACGGCAGCCTGCTTACGGCCCACTCGTGTGCAGCGGAGTTAAGCATAAGATGCTGACAGGTCTTCCTTCACAACAATACAATGATGAAATGCTCATTTATTCAAAAGGACCTTGATATACTTCTTCTGTTTATGATTACATCTCCAACATATGCCAGATTCTCGCATTTCCGACCGTGAAAATGGCATCAATGGCTTTTTAGTCACGCCGGTGACCGACGATATCTCCGGCGCTTACACCCGTCCGGCGTTAACAAAACGTTGGGCTAGTGCCGATCTTTCTCCGGCCACGGAAGGTGAGCCAGCCGCGGCATCCTCAGATCCCGGACTTCCAATTCCACGCTCGAAACTTCTAGAGCCTGAGCCTGAGCCTGAGCCACCCGAGCGGTCAGCCCGTGGGATTGCAGTCGGCGGCCCGCCACATGCTGTTCCTCAGTGTACTCCAATAATAGTGTATTAATGGTATGACTGAAAAGCTTGTTGTGCCTATTTATTGGCAACTAGCCACTGGAAAACTTAGTTTGGACTTAAGGCGGACTGGACCGCCCCGTGACATCATTCTCGTCCGATAAGTGCTGAGCGGAAATATCCGTCGCACTCCAGATGGAGTCCGTCAAGCTGACGGCTGACAGCGTTAGCTACGAGCCGAGTCCGGGGGTGGCGTGTTGACTATTGACTGATGACAGACTTGATGTTTGTTGCCACTAGCCAGTAGGTTCTAGACAATCCCTGAGTGCTAATCTGTGGCTTGTTGGTTTGGAGGATATCAACTCAATAGTAATAATATAATTCTGCTGCTACTAGGCCAGTATGTCTGCACAGACGTCCATCAAACATTATTGCCCAATGAAAACCGTCATCAAACCATGATCTTCCCGCTCATTCAATAAACAGTAACCTCATCACACGATACAACATATAGTCACCATCATCCCCAGCCTACCAACTTACTAGTTCACACCCACTACCGCCTCCCTCACCAAAAAATAATGCGTCGTCGGCTCGGTCCCTCCAAACTGCGCATACTCTACCGTAATCTCATCCACAACCCTGAACCCATGATTCAAATACACCTTCAGCCCCGCCGGCTCAGACATCACATACGTCTTGATGCCGTACTGATCCGCCACACGTAGTCCACTCTGCACAAGCATACTTCCTACCCCTTGTCTCCAGTAGTCGGGGTGAGTGGTGAGGTATTCCAGCGCTGTACACACAGAACCAAATTAGCAATTCTATCTTTCTCAATATATATCAATATGGAGATAAAATCATGCTCAACCACAAGTATGATGAATGATGAGATAGAGATAAAGAGGGAATCATACTCAAAACTTCCTCACCCCCCACCACATCCCTCAACACCCTCTCCTCAACCTCCTCCAACGGAGTCCCACGAAACTCCAACAACCCGTCGCTTTTCATCCCCTTGACTCTGCCCTTCTCGTCACTTCCGAGATCATACATCTTCTTGAATTGTTGTTCTTTCTCTTGCGATGAAGGCGCAGGTACCTGAGCTGAGAGCCATACGTCGTCTCGGTTGGAGAGAGAAGGAGGGAGAGTCCATCGCGCGTAGCCGATCACTCTCTCTTTACCTTCAAGAGTAGTATGCTCCGCGTTCTCGGTCCCTGTTCCGGGGGTAGATTCTTCTGTGGTAGTGGTAAGGACGACTTCATGTCTCCGCACATCCCGCGCTGTACTCAGCGTATGAGGGAGACGGGACGCAGTCGAGGAGATGATGGATGCTGGTGTGGTGGAGGGCGTGAAGAGGAAGGCCCAGTGTGGGTCTGTGAGACGAGAGAGGATCATGGTTTCTGCTAGGGTGGGGGAGTGGGAGGGGTGCGCGGGGTGGAGGGTGTATTCTTTTTGTGGCATTGTGGTGGTGGTGGTGGTGATGGTTTGGTAGGCTGTGTTTTGTGGGTGGTGATGTGGTTTGTATAGGGAGGGTTTGGGATGAAGACAGGTGGTCTTTGGGATACGATGATGATGATGCTTATCGGGTGGTGTGATATTGCAGGATTGTCGGTGTGGTGGTTTGTCCATGGTAGTGCTTATTTTAAGGATGATCTATGGGATGGGGGTGGTGGGTGTAGAGATGGTTAAGTTACTCTGATTCTTAGTAGTGGATAACTAGTAATTTGGTTCCAATTATAACTAGTAGATGGCTCGTCTGCGATATATAGATATATTAGTTGGGCTCCGTATTTAGTCTGGGTAGTTGTTTATGCATCAAGTGCATTTGTACAGTGGCAGAGGAGATCTAACTTTATTGCCACTTGTAATCTGGCTAGTGCTTATTTCTATGGCTACCAATAGTGTCGTAGATATTGTCGATGTGGAGTGAGTTTGATGACGCTAAACTGGAGATAAGAGCCGATGAGCATTGCCTAAAGCGTACACGTGATCTGTTGGAGACTCGGTATAGGGTCTACTACAGACTGGCATAACCATTTTAGAAGAGGATACTTGATAGCCTGGCAAGTTCTGGGTCGTAAATTATATTAAGATATTATGTATTAATATGCAAAGAATAACAATAAACGAATCTTGAAAGCATCACTCCTGCCGCATCTTCTTCCCTCGGGGACCGGCAACCGTTCCCATCAAGACTACAACTCGTTAGTCAAGAACACTGACAAAAAATAAAGGGGGACTCACTATCCCAATGCTTAAACGAGCTAGAGTAATTCCCTCGGAAGTACCGATGGTGATCGTCATGCCAGTCCGATCCTCCCCACAACGGGAAGATCCGTCTCAGACTCCAGGGGAAATCGTATCCAGAGTGCGCGTCGATGGCCTGGAACTGACGCAGAGCCACCCAAGCCAGCACAGTCATCAAATGCACCTCGCCGGTGAAGTAGCCAAGAACCAAAGGGGGTCCAATCGTGCCCAGGCCGAGAAGCATGGTCTCCCATGGGCTGGCGTACTCGGCCGTCAGACCAAACGGCGCGGCATATTGATGGTGCACCCGGTGGATGGCACGATAAAGAGGGCCCCAGTGGAAGGCACGGTGTAGCCAGTAGTGATATGTATCTTCGACGAAGAAGAAGATCGTGATCTGAATGGCCAGGGTTTTAAGGTCGGGGAATGGAAGGGCGTATTTGAGGCCAAAGAGCTCCATCATCGGGTGGAACAGGACGATCATAGGCATTTCCACAATGAAGTGAATAGCAAGGATATATTTCACACAACTCCATTGTTCTTTTGCTGATGGGGGTGCCTTCTTGTCCTGAATCTTGAAACGGTGAAAGAGTGTCGGTAGAGCGTCGGCGATTATCCACGGGATGCAGCGGGCGAAATAGAGGATTTCGTGAGCGAGGAAGGTGATGATGCCTATCGGAGTTAGTAGGTGACAGAGAAAATACATCGTGGGGCGTACCGGTTGCGATAATGTCATTATCCCAGTACGCATAGTGTGTCCACCACGCCTTCTCCAGAAAAGACAGTTTCGGGTTTTGACTCGCCAGGGCATAGAGCTCGGGATATGTTGCCGCCGCCGGTGGCGCAAAGGTCGAGTTCATGTTGAACTCCATGTTGATGTACAAGCTTGAGTACACGCCCTCATCCGCGCTTGACAATGAAAATAAGCGCTTCTAGAATCCAGTATATGTACTCTGAGTACTGTTGGCGACTTCCAGCCCTGGTGGGTACTATCCGGATGGTCTGATCCGGCACACCACTCGGATGCCGGGCTCGATCGACTGACCAGACCCCGGGCTAATTAATCATCCAACAATTCAATTTCCGCCCCGCTGACTGGCTCCCCAGATTTGGCTAAGCCCTCGATAATCCTCTGAGACAAATCTCACACCATACGAGCCGGGATCTGGATTAGTAGGCTGCCGTGTTGGCTAGCCGCTAGTGGTGCCTTTGACCTCAACGCCACAGCAGCATCAGGCACAGACCTCAGGGGTCAGGTCGAACGACGCCGGATGCCTGGATCCCCGGATGATGGTCCAGTAAGCTAGAAGGCACCTTCCGTACGAGATCGGCAACAGAAGATTCCGGTATGCACCCCAGGCTTTGATCCATAAAGGTTGTTGCAGGTGAGCGCTTTCCTAATCTCTCGAAATTCCCTCATGTTGCCACTGTCGGAAATTAAATTGGTGACGAGGGAAATCGTGACACTCTGGAGTCATGGATCAAGAGCTCAGCCTTACCGGTCACTTTTAGGCTCTTCGTAAGGCCAATTACAGCGACCGACTTAGATCTGCGAGCTTCTTTAGGAGCCTAAAGGTTCACATGCATCGATGCCAGAGCCAGCTAACAGCGGGATCATGTCTCATTCAAATCCTAATTTGGCGACAGTCCATACACGACAACTTCCCACATCGCAGCCTGTTGTCGCGCCAGGCCCCAGTGTCCAAGACGTCTTAATAGGTCTATACAATGACACAGCATGCTGGAATGCATGGGCTTTGGCCCCCACATTCCGGGACCATTGACCTCCGCGAGTATCCTTTCACAATTGATACCCGCGTGCTTGAGTTCTGGAAAGTCGAAGACGTTCTGTGTGACATCTGTGTGATATGCTATATCCTTGAACTGAAGATAGCAATAAAGTACCAATATAGCTCGATGGAGAGACCGAGGCGCGTGGATTGGTGGCTCCTTCGCTATAGGCATACTCTCCAGGCAGCGGAAGGTCAGGACTGCATGGACAACGCACCGGCAGCCATCTCGCGAATTTGCCCAGGCTCGAGCGTAACACACGTGCCTCTGTGACTCTTCATGCCCCTCACGCCCAACTGCAAGTTCCAAGCGATCAAAATCCACCAGGGAGGAGAGAAATGTGACGTGCCACAGCGCTCTCAGGCAGAAGTTATCAGGGCCAGCGGAAGAACTTCTCTGGGTAATATTATTGCAGTAGAACTTCTCGAGCACACTTTGCTGTGAAGGTAATGCAGAGTAATCATCAGACACACGGGCATCACATACAGATCCTGCAATCTCCTCCAGGGCAAAGTATTCTTTGAAGCTGTTTTGTTTGGCCATCGAGTCCGAACGCACATGGGAACTTAGTTGTCGGGTTAAACTACGACTCCAGTCTGCTGCTGTTGGCGCGGTCCAGATTTCATCGTCAGAGATAGAGGACCTCAGCGATGGGCGTCTCATGTACCGTTCTGAAAGAAACAAATCCGCAAACTCGCTATCTAGTATGGCCAATCCTGCTAAGAGGCTAGACACGGTCAGTCGGGACTCGGTGAATGCTTGGGTCGTCTAACCGGCGTTGCTCCTCTTTGGCAACCCATTTAGTCCACGCTCCCTCTGGGTCGCGTTCGATTTCCCCTCTTTCAATCTCACATGTCGACTGGTGACTGCGAAGCATCCGAATCCTCCGGACCCACTGGCTAAATTAGTTTTTCGAAAGACCACCACAGGGCAAGCATACCGTAATTATGGTACCATGGAAAACCTGGATCAGCAGGAGATGTCTGGGCTTCTTCTCTATGTCAGACG